CTGTACCAAAATAGGATGGCTAATGCATTTAATAGGAAAGTGAAACCTCGGCAGTTTACAATATGGCGACTGGTTTTAAAAAAGATATTCCCGCATCAAGAAGAAGTGAAAGGGAAGTTTGCACCAAATTAGCAGGGTCCCTATGTGGTCCATCGAGCATTGTCAGGAGGAGCATTGATCTAAGTAGAAATTGACGGTAGAGTAAGCACGAAGCCTATCAATTCAGATGCAATCAAGAGATACTACATTTGTAGACCATAAAGTTAGCTTTTGTTGTAACAGAACTACGCTCGACCTAACTTCCTACGATGGGATACATAGGCAACCCACGTAGGGTCAGGTCCTACTTTTGTAATAGGAAATCTAAAACATCATTTCCATGTATTCGGAATTGCACCACGACTTGATTTCCTTTGGCAGGAATACGTAGGCAATCCACATCGGATTCAATCATCTATTGTAATCAAACTACGTTCTGACCTGATTCCGTTTGGTTACATAGGCAATCTGAGTTAGACTCGGTTATATCATTTTAAAATTCTATCATTTTGCATCTATTATAGTCGAACTACGTTTTGTCCTGATTTCATTTTGGATATGTGGGCAGTCTAAGTCAGACTCAGTCATATCATTTCAAAATTCTGTCATTTTGTGTCTATTGTAATCAAACTATGTTTTGACTTTATTTCATTTTGGATATATAGGTTGCCTGAGTCAGGCTCAATAATTTCATTATTTGAGTTACTCATACCCTCGAACTACGCTCAGACCTGATTCAATTTGATACGTGGGGAAGTTAGAAAGGTTCGATCGTCACCTTAGGACAAGCCTTTGTAACGCATTGCCTAGATAAAGCGATCGCGTCAACAAGGAAGTTACTTCGTCAGGGGCATATCCAGAAAAGCATCATCAGAAAGAGACATAAGAAAAGATACTCACATCGAGGAGACCGTCAAACATGTCATAGTCTGGAATGACGGCATTTTCCATATACATAAATGATTTTTCAAAATAACTTTTAAGAAAATACTACTTTTTCCACCTGCCAACCTCATGACATAATCCACCAGATTTAGGGCAAGGCCAGGCTCATGATCAACACAAATCAACGCCCTCCCCTACTAAGAATTTTTCTTTGAGTGCAGGATTGGAAAGAATTAAAGGGTATAAGATAACATCAGAATCCGCGCTAGATCCGCTACAACTTCATAAGCTCTTAACTTTCCTTTATTGATTTATTTATGTCTCATATATCCAAAGACTAACTTTGAACTCTTTGTAGGTACCTTGGAGCCAAGACTCCAACATAACCAGATTACCGCCTGCTCCGCCAATCAGAGTGCAATGTACATATCAAACCGTCTGCTCCACCAATTGGAGCACTTTGTACATATCAAATCGTCTGCTCTGCCAATCGGAGCACATTGTACATATCAAACCATCTACTTTATACAAATTGCATTGTCCGGTCTGCCAATCAAAACACCTTGTACAAATTGCAACGTCGCTCTGACAATCAGAGATTCTAGAGATATCACCACAAATTTAGTCACCAACTTTGCCGATCGAAGGATGGACCATTCAATTTTGTCACATGTTCCGCCGATCGACGACCGTAATTTGATTTGCAGTCAAGAGTATCTCTTGGGCATGCTCATTTATTCTCCTATTTTTTACCTTGAATGTTTTGACGTTTTATTTGTGCAGTTTACAAGCAATTTACATTCTTACTTGGTTCAAATTCAAATACTCCCATCGCGTGAAGATTCTAAAGTCAAAAACTCTCATCACGTGGATATTCAAATTCAAAGTAAAAAACTCCCATCATGCATAGATTCAAATTCCAAGTTGACTATTCCCATCACGAGGAAATTCAAAATCAATACTCCCATTACATGGAGATTCGATCGCTCTGACAACTTTGGAATGGTACACACGAATGGACTATAGAGAATGTCAAGATCCTTCCGTACTTGCATTACGTAAAGGAATTGTGTAAGAGGTTTACAAAGATCGAGTTCAAGCATGTACTCAAAGTCCAGAATGAGTTTGTCAATGCTCTTACAACATTGTCATCCATGATTCAACACCTAGACAAGAATTACATCGAACCCATCAAGGTAGAGATCAAAATTACATCGACCCCATCAAGGTAGAGATCCAGGACTGGCATGCATACTGCCTCCACATAGATGAAGAACCAGATGGCAAACCTTAGTACTATGACAACAAGAGGTTCCTCAAAGCAAGAAAAGATCCTGAGAATGCCACTAACGGTCAGAAGTGAGCATTGAGAAGACTAGCAAATCACTTTTTCCTTAACGTGAAAGTCATGTATAGGAGGACCCCAGACTTGGGTCTATTAAGGTGTGTAGACGTTGTTGAAGCAACAAGGTTATAGGAAGAAATACATACAAGAACGTGCGTACCTCACATGAGCGGTTTCACTTTATTCAGGAAGAATATAAGAGCCAGATACTTTTGGATGACCATATAAAGGGACAACATCCGCTATGTGTAGAAATGCACTACTGTCAGATTAACGGGGATTTCATTTGGGTTCTGAAAAATGAATTAAACGTAATGGGTTCTACCTGATCGTTCGCCTCTTGGGGGCATGGATGTAATTTGGTCTATAGAATTTGCCGCATCGAATGGATATCATTTCATCTTAGTAGCCATGGATTATTTCACCAAATGGGTCGAAACTTCCAAATACAAGGCTGTTACAAAAAAGGTGGTGGTAGATTTTGTTTGTAACAATATAGTCTACTAATTTGGGATTCGGGAGTCAATTATAATTGACAATGCAGCCAATCTCAACATCGACCTCATAAGGAAAATTTGCAAGAAAATCAAAATTGTCCATCGTAATTCCACAACATACAGGCCATAGATGAAAGAAAACATCAAGACGATCTTACGAAAGATAATGGACAATCACATGCAATGGAATGAGAAACTGTCATTGGCCTACTTGGTTACAGCACCACCATGAGGACATCTACCGGGGTAATGCCATACGTGCAGGTATATGGCACAAAAGTTGTAATACCTGCAGAGGTCGAGATACCATCTTTAAGAATTATCCAGGAAGCTAAGTTGGACGAAGTAGAATGGAGAAATATCAGACAAGAACAATGCATGCTCATCGATAAAAAGAGGATGGATGTTGTTTATCACAGTCAACTGTACCAAAATAGGATGGCCAACGCATTCAACAGGAAAGTGAAACCTCGGCATTTCACACTAGGGCAATTGGTTTAGAAGAATATTTTTCCCCAACAAGAAGAAGCAAAAAGGGAAGTTTGTGCTGAATTGGAAGGGTCCCTATGTGGTCTATATAGCATTATTAGGAGGAGTACTAATCTTAGCAAAATGGACGGAAAATTTAGCACAAAGCCCATCAATTCAGACATAATCAAGAGATACTACATTTGAAGACCACAAAGTTAGGTTTTGTTGTAATAGAACTACGCTCGACCTAACTTTCCCACGGTGGGATACAGAGGCATCCCACGTTTGTTCCGGCCCCACTTTGGTAATAGAAAACCCAAAATATCATTTTTCATGTATTCGGAACTATGCCACGACTTGATTTCCTTTGGGAGGAATACGTAGGCAATCCACATCGATTCAATCATCTATTGTACTAGAACTAGGTTTTGACTTGATTCTATTTGGATATGTAGGCAGTCTAAGTCAGACTTGGTCATATCATTTCAAAATTTTGTCATTTTGCATCTATTGTAATCAAACTACATTTTGACTTGATATTGTTTGGATACGTATGCAGTCTAAGTCAGACTCGATCATATCATTTCAAAATTCTATCATTTTGCATCTATTGTAATTAAACTATGTTTTGACCTGATTCCATTTTGGATACATAGGCTGCCTGAGCTAGGCTCTATCATTTTATTATTTCATTTACTCGTACCCTCGAACTACACTCAGACCTGATTCTGTTTGGATACGTAGGCAACCTAGAAAGGTTCGATCATCACCCTAGGAATTGCCTTTGTAATGCATCGCCTTGATTAGGAAGTGATCGCATAATCAAGGAAGTTACGTCATCAAGGGCATATCCACAAAAGCATCGTCAGCAAGGCAGAGCCATTCAGAAATGATACTCGCTTTGAGGAGACCATCAAACATGTCATAATTCGAAACGACGGTGTTTTCCATATACATAAATGATTTTTCCTAATAATGTTAAATAAAATACTACTTCTTCCACTTGCTGGACCTCATGGCATAATCCACCAGATTTGGGGCAAGGCCAGGCTCACGATTAACACAAATCATTGCCCCTCCCCTACTAAGAAATTTTTTTTTGTGCAGGATTGACAATAATCAAAGGGCGTCAGATAACATCAGAATCGATGCCAGATACACTACAACTTCATGAGCTCTTAACTCTCCTTTATTGATATACTAGTAAGGTTAGCCCGGGCTTTGCCCGAGCCCAACGCGAACAAAGGTTTACTGTTATAAATTGAGGTATAGTGACGATATTCGCAAGGAATGAGCTTGTGACCAAAAGAGAAATAGAAGATTAATAGATTATAGAGTTATCACAGAAATGTTACTCTTATAAGCCATCTATTTCTCTAATATTTTGTTATTTCAAGTCAGTGGAATGCTTGGATGTACAAACCAACAAATATAGAAGTCTTAATGCCAAAATCATATGGTCTTCCAGTAGTACCTGCTGATATGGATCTGTGCAAGATAGCAACACTAGAATTTTTATCAACAAAGAGGATAAACTATTATGTCAAATCAACTCTAGCAACAGTGAAATAAGTCTAGACGTTATATAATTAAGACATAATTGTAAAATGTGTAGATAAAAGTTATGTTTAAGCAAGGACTTGACAGACCACCTGTGCAGTGTGCAATACTCTAAAAACATCGTATAGTATGCTTATGAGCACAGACATAGACAACTTAGATTAACCAATCCTAAGGTTCAAATGACGGTTGCACAAGAAATAAAATATGAAAGATAGCAGTTGTTATTCTTTATGACCATCCAGATGTAGATGTAGCATATGCTGCATAGCATATATGACATTTTCGGTTTAGAGTACTGAAAAATGAAATGGAATATACCAGTTCACTAGCTATTATGGTCGTAAATGCATCAGCAGACTACCCAGTAAGTGTAATCATTACGGCATTGCTGTGAATTACTGAGGGTTAATTCAAAGATGATTCTGAAAATATCAAAACTACCCACAGTCTAACAGCAATAATTTTTTCGACAGATAAAAATAACAGCAAGGTTTTGTTCGTTGTTTAAATATGCAATTCCACTAAGGCGTCAGTGAATATAATAACACAACAATCTTCTCCTACAGATGCTTCTGCAATCAGCTTTTCCACTAAGGATTCCTCTTTTGTATCTTCTGTACATGTTTGTTCCTTCAGTCAAAAGACATTATTCACAAACTTATTACTGTGAGATATCTGCATTTCAAATAGTTCACATAAATCAAGCCAAAAACTACCTCAGTAGGCTTTAAGCAGGAGAGTTTGATGTTTATTCTACTGACAATGAAAAGGTAGATGAATTAAATACAGGGCTACGACAGAGTTATTCCATTGGAAAACACATTATCATTTAACAAATTGAATAAATGTGTATTTGATTTTGGTATGTTAGTTTCATTCTTCGTGGGATGAAAGACGACGGTTAAAGTGAAAGACTGAAGTTAAAGTTGTAAAACTTTGAAGTGACAATATCTATGAAAGTAATAGGTACCATAATTAGACTGTTATTTTCCTAATGTCTTAAAGTTACACACCAAATTTAATAATGCAGGAAAACTTTGTCAAAATACAGTATATTGTTTATTCTACTGGAAACTGTCAGAATGTTGAGAAATAAAGCAGGGGCAAGCATGGGAAAAGTTGTAAATCTGTGGCAGAATCATAAAGAGCAGTAGATCAGAAGTATTTTTTTAACTGGACCAATGTATATCTGGGCTACACTCTATCTAAGATTCTATAGTAAAAACTGGATTCTGTATTTGTAACTATTAGATCTAGAGGTTATTTTAGTGTTTATCTAATCCTTTATCGACGAACTTCGTACGTCTAAAACTACACGAGATCAATTTACATTTGTAAGAAATCTAGAAATTCTTTCGTCATCAAAATTGTGTAGAAGGTAAATAGGTTTATAATTAAAGAAATAAAACTGAAAATACCTCCATAGTAACAGTAGAGCGATTTCTAGGGCTATAGCGAGCTAGGAGCCAACCTTCTCCATATGGACACTTGTTCTCAGGATCGTGCACACATATGTTCTAACTATTTGCACTTAGTAATCATGCCTGTAGGGACTTTTATGCAACATGTTCTTCAAATGTTTAAGCAAAAAAGCATCTTTGCTTTTAACACTGTTTCATTGAAGCTTTTTGTATCAAAGACATGTGCAAAGTCTTATGATGTCATTGCTGAACTACAATCTCATAGCTTAACCATTCACAATAAGAAACCACTGTTCTACATGTGAACTTCCCATCTATGTAAATTTTCCTCATTAAAGTTTGCATCAGATCTGATAATAAATTTTTTGGTGATCTATCGCGTAAAATCAAATTAAATCTAAGTAGTTTTCCACAGACCGCGAAATAAAGTGATATCCAGTTGTAAAATGTCAAAAATTGCAAGGATCAAACCAATTTTTGCACAAATGATCCATTAGCATGTCAATAAAACAAATCAATTACAAAGCTGGGGCGAAGCAATCAGACGACAGTAAACATTCAAAAAACAAAGTGAAACATTCAAAAAACAAAGTGAAATATTAAAGCAAAACGAAACTTACAGAGGAATTAAAGGCCATAGGAAGAAAACAAAATTAGAAAGTCACAAGAACAGATATGAAGCTTCGTAGTAAGAAAATATAGATCAATAAACTAACTTTAACTATCGATCTACCTTGGAATAACAAAACTTGAGCGTTGACGTGAGGAAAGAGAAAACAGATTAACCAAGAGAGCGCAGTGGTGACTGACATCGTGACACAGTAGCGAAGTAGCTTTGGACTTCACTTCAGATCAGAACACGTTAACAGTTAAAAGGGGCACAATAGACAATATAAACATAATAACGCGTGAAATGACCAATTTACCCTTGGGAGGAAGCAAGCATGTTGACGGAGAGCTCTCTGCTATTCCCTCTTCTAAGAAGTAAAAAAATAATAAATAAAGGATAGGAATTTCAGCCTCAAATAGCCAAGGACTAACTTTGAACTCTTTGCAGGTACCCAGAGCCTAGACTCTGACACAACTAGATCACCGTCTGTTCCGCCAATCAGAGTGCTTTGCATATATCAAACTGTCTGCTCCGCTAATTGGAGCACATTGTACATATCAAACCGTCTGCTTTGTACAGATCACATTGTCCCCTCTGCCAATTAGATCACCTTGTATAATTTGCACCGTCTCTCTGCCAATCCGATATTCCAAATAGATTATCGTAAATTTCATCGCCAACTTCTCCTATTTTACCTTGAATTTTTTGACGTTTTATTTTTGCATCTTACAGGCATTTTACATTTTTACTTGGTTCAAATTCAAATACTCCCATCGCATGGAGATTCAAATTCAAAGCAAAAAATTTCAATCATGCGGAGATTCAAATTCGAAGTCGAATGTTCCCATAGCGAGGAAATTCAAAGTCGTTGCGTGGACATTTGAACGCTCCGACAAGTCGCCCACTTCTTAAATGGCTATGAACTATCTCTATGTGGTTTGCTGCCTCGAAGAAGGTCAGTAAACACTAACCCCTTTTTGTTCTTCAGTTATTCACTAATTAATAAGTGATTCTTTATTTAATGTTTCTTTCTGTTAGCTTTCTGTTGTATTGTTCTACATGATGTTCATCAGTAAACATGTGACTTGCTTGATGTGTTCTGCTTTTATGTTATTCTTGCTTTTGAGTTAATGATGATTTCCTGATAAATATGTTTATCTCCGAGTCGTTGTTAAATCAATGCTTCATGATGATTGTTGGACTATGTTTCTCATGATTTAGCTAGTTGAAATGATTCTACATTGTTGTTATCCTTATAGGCAGTCTTGTTGATCCCTCATGTCAGTGTAACTAAATCCTACGTTACTGGCTATATGTGGCCTACGCTATGATATTGGGTAATAACTATACTCTCATGATAATTAATTTGACTGGACAATGCTCTTAAATTGTTCATGATATACTGTTTAACTAGCTAAGATCTTTATACCTACATCATTATGTTGTCTTAACCCTCATGCCTACGGTGTCAAGTTGCTTTGGTTTAGTTCAATGAATGATTCTCCTTACTGGTCTTGTTCATGTTATCATGTTGATCTGTTTACTTAGCTAGATAACTCTGGTTGGCAGTCCTATCATGGTATTATGTTACTTTGCACAGTTAAGATAAAATAATTCATGTGTGCATATCATGATAACTTGAATAAAAGGGAATCTTATGGTAAACTTTGTTGGCATGACTTACTAGTAAACCTGCTTACTTGCCAAAAATGGTAACTTGATGTATTCAGCTTGTCCTGCCCTGGTCAACTGTAAAATGAGTGTCTTCGCTTGTTATTTCGTGACCATTTGATAACACTGTCTAGATGTCTTTCACTCATGAACCTGTGTATTGATGGTTCTAATAATTTGAAAGTTTGATAGACTATGCATTGTCATGATTGGATGCCATGCCCCTTAGGTTTAAATGAAACTTAAGTTAGCCTTCCTATTCAAATTAATGTTTCAGCTGACCTAGTTGGTTGGTATGCTCTTTGGGAACTCTGAGTAAGGCTATTAGCACAGGTGTTCAATGTAGTAAAGTCCTAGTTGTGTGCATATTTGCTTAGAAAAACTGTTCTAAAGTTGTTATAGTGTTCTATGACCTGTTCAAGTGATTTGAACTTACTTAAGGAAGGTTCTGAAGTGTTGGACCTTTAGTGAAGTTAATAAAATAAGTGTATATTTTTATCTTTATTAACTGCTGGATACCTTAAATTCTTAATATGACCTTCATGGACATGAATTTGTAAGTAGCATATAAAGTTTACCTACAGAAGTACATAGTCAGTCATTTGTATTTGATGACCTTTCATAAGTGTGATTACTCTATGAATGACATGCCATAGGGGATGACTTAGAATTAGCCTTTAAACCTTCTAAGCTGTTAAGACTTTGGGAGTTCATGTCTATGATCATAGTCTAGAGTTCAGATATGAGTGTTAATCATTGGCACTCTTCATGCTAGTGATGACTTCATTTTACTGAATGGTTGTCTGGCTTGACTTCACTTTACAGAATAATTGTCTGACTTGCATTATTGATGCCTTTGTATGATTTAACCTCCTGAATGTGTTATGGAACCTTCTATACCTTTGCTAGTGTGTTTTATGTTGACTTTATATGGCTATTGTTTGGTTTAAATTCCAAGTTAATACTTGCCGGTGCTTAGACCTCTGAAGAAGAGTGAGGATCAATGCTTAAGGGTATTTTGGTGTGAGCTTGACTTTAGAATTACGGAAACCCTCCCGGGCATAAGCACTAGTCGGGGTGCATGAAACCCTCGTGAACTCTTAAGTTTCAGGGGTTCATAGGAGATCCTTATAAATAAATACGACTTACTCTAAGCCCATAGTCATTGACCTTGGTTAATCTTCACAGGATTAACACAAATAAAATTTGACTTTGCTATATTCTTTAGGTCCTGTTCTTATTCATTAAAATTTTTTCTTACTTTACCTTTTATGTTTACGTATGCTAATTAATTTTTTTCTCTTTTTTCTTTGCATGATAATTGGGCTTTCTGAGTTTATTGAAACTCGGGCCCAGGTTTAGGAAACTGGGTTGTTTCTTGGTCATCTGCTGAAATTTTCTCCTACTTACAGTCAATCTAGGCATGGCTGCTTTGCTCAGCCCAATAGAAGAGTTCAACATTCCTCCCTCACCGAAATAATTGTTGTTGTTATGGTTTGCTCTTCTGTACATATATCCTTGAGACAACTAACACTATTATTGGATATTCTTTGCTATCTTGAATGTTTAGGCAGATTTTAGGTGAATCAAAATCTAATAGACAAAAAGGTAATTGTGACTTCAAAGACTAATCAATTTTAACAACCTTAATGCTTTTTGAAATCTAAATGCTCTTGAAACTAACTATTTTGGCAACTAATCTTTCTTTTGTTTGCATATCTTTTAATGAACTTTATTTTGGTTTTAGGCGTCAACAAAGCCTGGATGAATTTAAAGGGAAACAAAATCTGAACAAGTCTAACTGAAAACAACTCCTCGGAAAGGTCTTCAAAAATAAACTGAACTATTTCAAAATAAATGAGGCAAACCATGATGTTTTAGAAAAACCAAACATCCTTTGAAAATATATGGATTCTTCTGCCAAAAACAACTTTCGATAAATAGACGTGGCACACTTCTTTATTGTCACGACCCAAAACTACCCTGTTGTGATGGCGCCTATCGTGGAACTAGCCAAGCCGACTCTTTACCAAAAATAACGCGATATTTCTTTTTAAAGATAACTTCAAGCAATTTAATAATAAAACTTCATAAAGAAATCTAAATAACGAAAGTGCGGAAAGAAAAAATCCTGACATCGGGGTGTCACTAGTCATGAGCATCTACTACAGTCTGTCCAAAAATACTAAGACTAACACAGTCTGGAAATATCACTACGAACAACAATAGGAAAATAGGAGGGAGAAGAGCAGGGCTGCGATCGCCAGCGGCTACCTTGCTAACTCCAAAAAGATCTACGGCTGGAATAGTCAACAGCCGCTACCGACTCCTTGTACGCCTGGATCTGCACACAAGATGCAGGTAGTAATGTGAGTACGCCAACTCAGTAAGTAACCAAAGTAAATAAAGGCTGAGAAGCAGTGACGAGCAATAAAACATATGAAGTTCATATCATGAAATATCATTAAAAATACAACATACTTTTAAAAGCAGAGTTTGAATCAAATCATTTCGTTTAAACTCAATTTCAAAAAAATTATTTGAAGTTATTTTTCAACAGTTCTCAACAGAGGCTCAGTGTAACAGTGAGCAAAAATGATGAAAACATAACCAGTCCCTCGGGCAAAACCTCACCCATATACAGCCCCTCGGGCAAACCTCACAGTCACTCCTTCGCAGTCCCTCGGGCATACCTCACCATCACTCACAATCAGGGTACCCGCGCTCACTGGTGGTGTGCAGACTCCGGAGGGGCTCCTTCAGCCCAAGCGCTATAACAAGCCACCTCGTGGCATAAATCAATCGGGCCTCACTCAATCATGAATCAGTACAATATGCTGCGGTGTGCAGCTCGATCCCATAAATATCCTCACAAATCAAGCCCTCGGCCTCACTCAGTCATAAAACTCTCAAGCCACTCGGGCTCTCAGTAAAATAGGATACTCAGCCTAAAACGACATTTATATGCATCAAAACAGAGTAATAAAAACTGAGTTATGAAATAAATAAGTGTAACATGACTGAGTAGAGATTTTTAACCAAAACTAGTGAAAGGATAATAAGAAAAAGGCCCCTAAGGGTCCAAACAGTTCTGGCACAAGGCCCAAATATGGCATTCAACCCAATTTACAGAAATTCTTTCTAAAACACATAAGTATCATATAGTTTCAACCTAATACGCAACTTATAGTTGCTACGGGATAGACCAAGTCACAAGCCCCAACGGTGCACACCCGCACGCCCGTCATCTAGCATGCGCATCACATCAAAATAGTAAAACGATTCGAAATCCGGGATTTCATATCCTCAGGACAAGATTTACAATCGTTACTTATCTCAAACCGGTCAAACCTCCACTCTGTGATGCTCTTGCCCCTCGACTCGGCCTCCAATCGCTCCAAATCTATTCACAACCAGAACAATACCATCAATATGCGCTAATGGAATGAATTCTATAAGAAAAACTATTAAATTAGATACAAATCCCGAAATCCACTCAAACCCGATCCCCCGGCCCACGTCTCGGAATCCAAAAAAAATCACAAAACTGGAAAGCCCTTTCACTCACGAGTCCATATATTTATTATAATCCGACTCCATTTGACCCCTCGAATCTTCAATCAAACTCTCCAAAAATCTCAAGCCCTAACCCCTCATTTTGCCCTTAACCTTCACTAATTACATGATTAAAATGGAAAATCACCATAAACACATGTATTAGGGCTCAAGTAACTTACGTCAATGAAAAACCACTTGAATCCCTCTTCAAATCACTCCCACAAGCTCCAAAACCAAATAAAAATGGTGAAGAATGGCCCAAAATTCCCGAAGTGTGCAATATATACCTTCTGCCCAGGATTCTCGCACCTGCGGCCTATTTTTCGCGCCTGTGGGACCGCAGCTACGGTCAAGGCACTGCACCTGCGAATTCCACTTAACTCACTAGCCTCCGCACCTGTGCCCCAGGCCTCGCACCTGCGGGCTCGCAGGTGCGGCCAAGCCTGCGCACCTGCGCTCCTTCCTCTGCTTCCCAAGTTCGACATCTGCGGTTCCCTGCCGCTGCGACCCTCGCACCTGCAGTTCCCACTCTGCAGGTGCGGAAACATCAGAAGCAGCAGCTTCAGCTGCATTATTCCACTTTCCAATTATACGTTAACCATCTGAATTCATCCCGAGGCCCTCGGGACCTCAACTAAAAGTACTTACAAGTCACATATCAACATACGAACTTAGAACCTTCAGAACACTCAAAACAACATCAAAACACCAAATCGCCCTCGGATTCAAGCCTAAGAACTTCTAAACTTCTAAATTCCGCAAAACGATACTGAAACCTATTAAACCTCGTCCGAATGACCTCAAATTTTGTACACACATCACAAATGATACTACAAACCTACCCCAACTTCTGAAATTTCATTCCGACCCCAATATCAAAATTTCCACCGTCGACCGAAAATCGCCAAATTTCTAAATTTCGCCAATTCAAGCCTAATTCTACCACAGACCTCCAAATCACATTCGAGACGCGCTCCCAAGTCCAAAATTACCTAACAGAGCTAACCAAATTATTAAAATCCAAATCCGAGATCGTTTACTCATAAGTCAACATCCGGTTGACTTTTCCAACTAAAGCTTCTAAATAGGAGACTAAGTGTCTCATTCCACACCGAAACCACTCCGAACCCGAACCAACCAACACGATACGATGAAATACAGTTGAGGAACACATAAGGAAGCAGAAATGGGAGAAACAGGGCTATAACCCACGAAACGACTGGCTGGGTCGTTACATCTATCATATAATATGAATGTATATTCTTACTTTGAAAAACATAAATAGGAAGATTTTAAAACAAATATTACTATTTCTAAAGTAACTATACTATTTTTCTTAAAACAAGGATAAATTTTCAAACAAGTTTTAAAATATTTCCTCACTTTCACAGAGTCAAATTTAACAATTTTAACCACTAATCAACTAGGATATAAATACTTATTTTCCCGCATCTAGATGGCCCTCGCTCATGAACCTGAGTATTGATGCTTCCGATAATTTGAAAGTTTGATAGACTATGTATTGTCATGATTGAATACCATGCCCCTTACGTTTAAATGAAACTAAAGTAGCATTCCTATAAATATTAATGTTTCAGTTGACCCAGATGATTGATATGCTCTTTTGGAACTCTGAGTAAGGCTATTAGCACATGAGTTAAATGTCGTAAAGTCCTAGATGTGTGCATATTTGTTTAGAAAAACTGTTTTGAAAGTTATTATAGTGTTTTACGACCTCTTCTAGTGATTTGAACCTACTGAAGGAAGGTTTAAAGTGTTGGACATTTAGTGAAGTTAATAAAATAAATATATATGTCTATCTCTATTAACTGTTGGATGCCTTAACTACTTAATATGACCTTCCTGGACATGAATTTGTAACTAGCATATAAAGTTTATCTACAGGAGTACCTAGTCAGTCATTTGTGTTTGATGACCTTTCCTAAGTGTGATTACTTTGTTATGACATGCAATAAGAAATGGCTTAAAAATAGCCTTTGAACTTTCTAAGATGTTAAGACTTTGGAGTTCATGTATATGATCATAGTCTATAGCTTAGATATAAGTGTTAATCATTGGCTATTTCTGACTTTGCATGCTATTGATGACTTCATTTAACAGAATGGGTGTCTGAATTGAACTATTGATGCCTTTTTATGATTTAACCTCCTGAATGTGTTTTGGAACCTTCTATACCTTTGCTAGTGTGTTTTATGTTGACTGTATAAGGCTGTTGTTTGGTTGAAATACCAAGTTACTACTTGCTTGTGCTTAAACCTCTGAAGAAGAGTGAGGTTCAATGCTTAAGGGTATTTTGGTGTGATCTTGACTTTAGGATTAAGGAAACCCTCTCTGGCACAATCATTGCTCGAGGTCCATGAGACCCTCATGAACTCTGAAGTGTCAGCGGTTCATAGGGGAACCTTTTAAATAAATACGGCTTACTCTATGCCCATAGTCATTGACCTTGGCTAATCTTCACAAGATTAACACAAATGAAATTTGACTTTGCTATATTCTTTAGGTCTTGTTCTTATTCATTATAATTTTATCTTACTTTACTTTTTATGTTTACATATTCTAATTAATTTTTTCTCTTTTTCTTTGCATTATAGTTGAGCTTGCTGAGTTTATTGAAACTCAGGACCAGGTTCAGAAAACCAGGCTGCTTCTTGGTCATCTGCTGAAATCTGCTGCTGCTTAAAGTCTATCTGGGCATGGCTGCTTTGGTCAGCCCAATAGAAGAGTCTAACTTTCTCCCCTTTACCTAAATAATTATTGTTGTTATGGTTTGCTCTTCTGTACATATATCCTTGAGACAACTAACACTAGTAATGGATATTCTTAGGTATCTTGAATGTTTAGGCAGATTTTAGGTAAATCAAAATCTAATAGACAAAAAGGTAATTGTAACTTCAAAGACTAATCATTTTTAACAACCTTAATGCTTTTTGAAATCTAAATGCTCTTGAAACTAACTATTTTGGCAACTAAACTTTCTTTTGTTCGCATATCTTTTAATGAACTTTGTTTTTGTTTTAGGCGTCAACAGAACCCGGAGGAGTTTAAAGGGAAACAAAATCTGAACCAGTATAAATGGAAACAACTCCTCGGAAAGGTCTTCAAAAATAAACTAAACTATTTCAAAACAAATGAGGCAAACCATGATGTTTTAGAAAAACCAAACATCCTATGAAAATATATGCATTCTTCCGCCAAAAATAACTTTCGATAAACAGACGAGGTACACTCCTTTTTTTTTTTTTTTGGTTAAAACATTGTCTCCATTGCTCATTTATGTGCAAAGAGTTACAATTTGAGTTTGGCATCCCAAACTTTGTACATGATCATCGAGGTGAGACTAGTGGAGATAATCTAACGAAATTGGAGTTAACTATACAAAAACTATGGCGAGTCATATATGACATGCCCTGGTTTGGCTATTTTGATCCTAAAGGATGGTAGATATCCATGTTGACGAGTCCTTTGACTTGATTAGGGAGGTCAGCAAAAGAGTTGAAGACATGGATTATATTGCTACTGTGGCTGAGACTTGCTAGTTTATCTGCAGGTTTGTTTGCTTCTCTGAAACAATGGTTGATATCAAATCCATGCTCTTCAACTATATCCTGAATCTCTGTGATGATGTTCTCTATCTTCCAGGGGACTTTCCACTCTCTTCTGATGCATTTTGTAAGGAGCATTGAATCTGTTTCTCCCATAGATAGTCCATAGCCATTTGCTTCACACCACTTGATTCCAAAGAGCATTGCTGCTGCTTCTGCTAAATTGCTAGTCCCTGGTCCTAGGGGAATAGAATAGGCAAAAATAACTATTCCTTGCATATTCCTGACCAGGCCTCCACCTCCACACATTTCTTGAATACAACTCCCATCACTATTAAGTTTAACTGTTTGGGGTGGGGGTTTGATCCATTTGATAATTTTGGATATCCTTTGTTCAATTACTGCTTCACATGCCATACATATTGATTGCCAATCATCTCTTTTTCTTGCTCTGCCAAATCTGTTGTTTAATATCTGCACAAGAGTAAAAAAAATGTTAGTTTTGGTTCTGTAAAATAATGGCCTAATGTTCTCAAATTTCTTGCTACATCTTGACTTCCATAACTCCCAGCAAATTATAAGAGGGAGAATTCTAGTAATGAGTTCTGCAATGCAATCGCGAGCCTTGAAGTTCCACCATTTGAGCAGGAGCATTTTAAGGTTCATGTTGTTATAGTCTATGCCCAGTGGGCCAGCAAAGAATCTCCAAATCTTTTTTGCATGTTCTCCCAGGCAGAAAAGATGATCTACATTCTCGATTGTGGCACTTTGGCTATTATTGTTGCAACAGTGGCAATTAGGATCAATCTCAATTCCGAATCTTGCAATTCTATCCTTTGTAGACAGTTTATCATGTATAGCTCTCCAAGTGAGGAAAGAGATCTTGAAAGGGACTTCTTTATGCCAAACTCCACTAGTAAAATTGTTTACTTCCTTCCTTTGTATACAGTTTTCTCAGGCAGAGCGCACAGTAAATTGCCTTGTGTTGGTTGGCATCCATATTGCTTTGTCCAATCTATTTATGCGTAGTTTGATGCTCAGACTATTGATCCTCCTCTTATTATCTTCATCTGGTTGCACATGAAATCTGTCCCAGACCCAAATCCCATTAATGAGGACCTCATTAACTCTAATCTGGTTTTGAGTGTTAGTGTCTTGAAGAAGAAGGTGGAAAGGTCCTAATTTTGACCAATTGTCGTACCAAAATGACACCTCTCCTTTACCAATGTTCCAGATAATGTTGTTATCCACTTCTTCCTTAATACTGCATAGAGTTTTCCAGCTCTGAGATTGGCCAGATGTCCATTTAGCATTAGAAGGGTGGCAGTTGTAGAAATATTTTTTTGCATGAATTCTTTCTAGAGAGAGTTTGTGGTTCTCAATGTCCACCATTGCTTGCTTTGGAAAGCATCACAAATATCAGATAAAGACCTAAAATTGGCACCTCCTTCATTATAAGGATAACATAGATTGTTCCAAGAGGCCCAATGGTATTTACCCCCTGTTTCATTCCCGGACCAAAAGAACCTTGTTATATATTTTTCTATTATATCAATGGTACCTTTACGGGGGTTTGTAGCAGCAAGAAGATGTACCGGTAAGGCTAGTAACACATGTCTTATCAAAATTGCTCTTCCACCTGTAGATAGGAACTTTGTTTGCCAACCTCTAATCTTCTTGATAATCTTGTTGACTATATCAGAGTAATAGCAAATTTTCTTTCTTCCTGTTATAAGAGGGCACCCAAGGTACTTAATGGGGAATTGTTGGAGGTGCATGCCAGTAATAGTCCTTAGTCTATTGATGGTGGCAGCATTGGCATTGTCAGCTATGGCAAAGCAATTTTTCTCCTTATCTATGAGCTGGCCCGAAATTTTCTCATATGTTTCAAGGGGTTTTAAGACCATTTCAAGGGTTTTTTGCTCCATTGCAAAATAGGATAGTATCATCAGCAAAAGAAAGGTGATTTATTTTGGGACAATTGGCACTCATGTAGAATCCTTTGTAACCTTGTCTATCATGAAGATTATTCAGCATTTTGGAAAGAAGTTCAGCACTGATGATGAAAAGAGATGGTGAGACTGGATCACCTTGTCTCAGCCCCCTGGTAGATTTAAAGAAACCATGCCTTCCTCCATTTACAATAACAGAGTACCAATTGTTAGATATGAAATTGTGAATAAGATGAATCCACCACTCACAGAAGCCAAAATTTTTAAGCGCCATGCAGAGGAATTCCCAAGAGACCCTGTCGTAAGCTTTAGCCATATCAATCTTAATAACCACATTTCCATCTTGAGCAGGCTTCTTAATATCATTTATGATTTCCTGGGCCAGTAGGATATTTTCAGTAAGAGCTCGCCCTTTTATAAAGCCTGATTGATTTCTGGATATAATCTTTGGGAGGATGTTTGAAATTCTGCTATAAGGATTTTTGAGATGATTTTACTAGAGGTATTGCAAAGGCTTATGGGTCTGAGATATTAGAATTTTTGAGGGTGATCTATTTTGGGAATCATTACTAAGCAAGTGTGAGTGAAGAACTTTGGGAGTTTAGCACCTTGAAAGAAGGATTCCACTGCCTTATGAAGATCATTGCATATAATATCCCAGACAGATTAATAAAAAGAGCCACTCAGTCCATCTGGCCCTGGGGCACTGTCCTTGTCTATATTAAACACAGCTCATTTAATTTCAAACATAGTAGGAATTGCCTTAAGCTTGTTGTTGTCTTCATCAGTAATGCACCTCTCTATACAGTCAAGAGCATTGTAATTATTGGTGTGAGCTTCCTGAGTGAACATCCCTTGAAAGTGGCTTACAACTGCTTCTGCAATAATATCATTTCCTTCCAGCCAATGGTTTTGGTCATCCATTATCTTAGTGATGGTCATTCTTCTTCTCCTTTCTTTTATCACACCATGAAAGTAAGTAGTGTTGGCATCTCCTTCTTTAAACCATTTGTCCCTAGATTTTTGCCTCAGAATACTCTCTTGGATCTTGTAGTATCTAGTGAATTCAGCTCTACATCTAGAGAGGGCACTTCTGTTCTCAGAGGAATTATCATTAACACAATTATCCTCCAAGGTTCTCATTTCTGCTTCCAATCTTTTGGGAATCTCATAGATATCCCCAAAGGCCTGTCTGGACCATACACTAAGGGCTTTACACACATTTTTAATTTTCTAATGGAGTGTATACGTAGGGTTCCCATACACAGCTTCTTCCCAGGCATCCTTTACTACCTTGGTGTAGTCTTGGTGTTCAGTCCAAAAATTAAGGAATTTGAAATATTTGATATGGCTAGTAACCTCATTACTCATTTTGACAAGCAGAGGGGCATGGTCAGAGCATGCTCTAGAGAGGTGAGTAACTGAGGTGTTGGATATAGTATCAAACCATGCGCTATTGTAGACAAGCTATCCAATCTCTTCCATATAGTTGTGGGAGGATCTCTGTTATCACACCATGTATATATAGACCCTGTGAAACCTGCATCTTGAAGACCACACTCATTAAGGCACTCTATGAATTCTAGGCTTTCCTCCATTCTGTAGCTTCTACCCCTTTCTTTTCTTCACTGGAGGTGATAACATTGAAGTCTCCAATGACACCCCAAGCTCCTTGAATGTTGTTGGATGTGTTTTTCAGGTCCTGCCATAATTCTCTTCTACTTTCCTCATTGCATTTGGCATAGACAACTGTTAAGTATATGGTAGGGTGATTGAGATGTTTTGCACTAATCAAGACATGTTGCTCCTTATCTTGAACTATATTAACCTCCACTTCAATAGTCCAGAATAACCAAATTTTGTTTGAGCAGTTGAAAAAACCTTGATTCATGTCTAGTTTCCTTCTGTATCTATCCATCTTTCCACTGTCTACAAGTGGCTTCTGTAAACAGATCAACGGAATTTTAAATTATTGTTTGATAGTTTGGAGTATCTCCAGAGATCCTGCAGATCCTATTCCCCTTATATTCCATGATAGTGTGTCTATCATTAGAAACTTGTAGGGGTAGGTTCTTTTTGCTATTCCTTGATTTCTTCTGTGGTTTGGCATTCCTGAATGAAGTCTACACCCTAGTTTTTGTTGCTCCTGGGTGACAGATTGTTGTAGAAGATGATGTTTTGTTGGACTGGTGTACTCTCAGCATGCTCCAAATCCTGGTTAGCTGAGGTAATCTTGCCTCCACTGATTTCATCATCAGATTGAGTTCTTCTTTCTTCTTCTTTGTTGATTAATGTCGAGTCTTTCTCCATATCATCTAGGTCATACTTTCTTTCTTATAACAAGGATAAGTTTTCAAACAAGCTATAAATGTTTCCTCACTTTCACAGAGTCCCATTTAACA